GACCCCTCAGTCTGCAGGATGGTGCTCTATCCACTGAGCAAAACCAGCTAGGGGAGATTTTGTTTTTCTTAAAGGACCAGATGGTAAATATTTTAGGATATGTGGGCCATACAGTCTCTGTCACAAGTAATCAACCCTGCCATCACAGCTTGGACGTAGCCATAAACAAATGTGTAAATAAATAGGCATGGCTGTGTTTTAATAAAGTTTTATTTTTAAAAACAGGCAATGAGTCCATGTCCCATAGTTTGTCAACTCCTACTATAATATATCAGTTTGCCTTGATATGGTAACCTAAATGATTTAAATATTTTGACGTTTTAAGATCAAGATTGTGGCTTGTCTTAGGGTGGTGTCAAATAAAGTAAAACAAAGCACCCGCTCAGATACCAAAGAGACATCTTAAAGTGATGTACATCTTGAATAAAGTCTTTCAAAGAAGTACAAGGACGAATCACATTGCACAACACACTGGAAAATGTGCTAAAAGTTATATCCACCCATTTATATTCCCAAATATAACTCCTCAAGAAATTTTGAATTTCATTCCCTCCCAAACTCTGTGTCAAAATTCTCACCGGCATTAGTTCATCTGTGTATGTCTTCTCCTAGCTTCGGCCTAGTTCTTTATTAAGTAGATAAATTTAATCATGGGCTTTCAAAGACTCTATTATTTACCCACTGCACTGATCAGCACAACCAAACTCCAGAAACCTGGAAAGCTGGGCAGGAAACTGAATTGTATGTTGTTCATCCCTCCCACCCCTCTTCTACATTTAGGGGCACTAGACATGGAAATGGTAATAAAAATAGTTTTTCCCTGATGAGAGTGTAAAATGAGATATGATTCTTCTTGGGCTTTAGGAGGCACGTGCGACTTTGGAGAGCACTGAATAAGCCCTCTCCCCACCTCCCTTTACAAATGACCCTGTAATCCAGAGGCGCGAGGAGGCTGGCCTCAGTTATGTGCATATATCGATGTCTAGATATTATTTTATGGATTCTACAGGTAATTTGGGTAGCAGGCAACACTAGGTGGGAAGTCCCCATTCCTCAGCTCCTGGGGTGCAGTCTATCCACTACTTTACTCCACTCCCCTCTCTAAGGAAGTCCCTGATGTGCAGACCCTGGGTCCAGCGCTGAGATACGCAGTGAACAGGCCCAGCTCTGGGTCTCACCCTGCCCTTACAGGCTATGTTATGTGAGTGAGATATCTTCCTGTGCGGACCATAAAATGGGGCAATAGCTTTAGCCCTTCCTTTTCATTGCTGTAAGGATATGATCCAGCCTGTGAAATCCTTAGGTCACTTGTTAGCCTGCAGTACGTATTAGCTGTTATCTTTGGTACAATTAACAAAAGAAAAGTAAAAATCCACTTAAAATGTAGGTGCAGCTGATGTTTTGAATCAGGTGAACAAAAGGTTCTTGGGAGAGGGGTGAGAGACCTGTCATCTCTCTGAGGGAAGTAAGGGAAATCTTTCTGGAAGAAGTGACTCCTGAATTAAGAGCTAAAGTACAGAAGGGAGTTAGGAAGGCAAAGAGTGGAGGGAGAGCACTGAGAGAGATGAGGACACACAAGCAAAGGCTCGAAGGCCAAGGTGTGTGTAGAGGAGTGTGATAGGCCTACATTGTGAGAGAGACCCAGCAACAGAAGAGGCTGGAGGTGTATGTGGGTCCAGATCATAAAGGGTCTTGCTTTTCCTACTCAGGAAACTCATACCTGGTACCTTATGGGACGTGAGAAGCAAGGGGAGTGGCAGAGAAGTGACATATATAGATTTTCATTTTATAAAGGTAACTAGAGGCCCAGCACACGAAATCATGTGCAGGTAGGGTCCCTAGGCCTAGCCTGCGATCAGGGCCATCTTTTTTTTTTTTAATATACTTTATTGACTTTTTACAGAGAGGAAGGGAGAGGGATAGAGAGTTAGAAACATCGATTAGAGAGAAACATCGATCAGCTGCCTCCTACACACCTCCTACTGGGGATGTGCCCGCAACCAAGGTACATGCCCTTGACCAGAATTGAACCTGGGACCTTTCAGTCCGCTGGCCGATGCTCTATCCACTGAGCCAAACCGGTTAGGGCTCAGGGCCATCTTTTGCCCACTCACCAGTCCCCAGTCCTGCCCCGCCACCACCCACCCCGGTTCCCCATGGTTCTCCCTTCCCTATCCTTCGATCAGAGCCTGCGGGTTGGGGGGTAAGGGGGGGAGGGACCGAGAGGTGGTCAATGCACCTCATAGAAACTGGTTGAGCAGTTGTTCTAGTTGTTACACCGTTATGGTTGCTGGGTTTTTATTATATAGGATCAAGGCACCTGACTTTTGTCTGGATGGGGACAAAACTATTTGTGGCTGAGAGACGAGTTAAACAGTTGTAGCAAACAAAGTGAGAAGTCACGAGGACTAGAGTGGGTTGTAAATGCAAATGCTTACAGAGGTCAAACAGGTGCCATAACCGGATAAATCCAGGTGGGTGGGACATGGCTGCAGCAGTCTGGAGAACTCATGCCCTGCACTAAGGGACCACCATCGCTTCAGCTTCAAGAACTTCCTTCAAAATTCCTTAGAGAACAGGTTTACAATTGACAGGCTCACTACTGGTTTGACTAAAAAAATACCGTCTGCTCGATTCCGTGTGAACCTAGAACTTCTCTAAAAAACATTGAGCTTCTAGGACCTATGAGTTCATATTTTTTCCCCTCAAGTTTTCAAAAAATATTTTGGCCATTATTTCTTCTGTACTTTTTCGCTCTTCTTCCAATGCTACACCAATTATATGTATGTTAGAATGGTTGACATTATCTCAGGTCATTGAGGTTATATTCAACTTTTTATTAATATCTTTGCTCTGCATGCTTCAGTTTGGAGAATATGTACTGCACAGGCTTCAAGTGAATCAGCCTTTTCTTCTATTCTAAAGCCCATACAGTGAATTTTTCATTTCAGATATATTTGTTCATGTCTAGAATTTCCACTTGGTTCACTTTTCATCTACATTTCTTTATTCAAATTTTAAAATTTGTAATCTTATTATATTTTATGTTTCTCTTTAAATATTTGAGCACTTTAGTGCAGAATCTGTGTCTGTTTCTATTAACTGATTTTTCTAATGATTATGGGTCATGCTTCTTCATCTGATGAGTAAATTTTGGTTTTGTGTTAAACATTATTATGTGTCTGGATTTTGTTATCTTCCTTAACAAATGCTAAGTTTTATTCTGTTAGGCAGTTGCTTTATTTGCAGATTAAATTTATCCTTTTAAGACTTATAAAGATTTGCAGGAAAGGAGACAGAATGATGGTTTGCAGATGACAGTGGGGCAAGGCATTGAAAGTGGTATGGTTCGCAGCCTGCATCTCCAAGGAGCATCATTTTTGTGTGAGGATAGAGACATCAGGCCTCAAGGTCAATGTCCGGCCCCCATCTGAGCTCATGTAATGGGAGCATGAACAGCCAATACAGTTGGAGATGCACATGTGTGCACAGCTCCATGTTCACATAGGGTGCCACTCATACTGCAAACACCACTGTCTACTATAGTGATTTCCCCACATGTGGAAGTAACTTGTCTTGAAGAAATGTGTTTCCCCACCTCCCCGCCCCCCCGCCAATTTTCACAAAAGCAGTTGGTATGGGCAGTTGGTGCCTTGGGGAGGGGGCTGAACACTTCTGCCCAAGGTGGATGCAAGGGAGCATCTCAGGGGAGACACAGGCTTCTGTTAGGGCCAGAGGAGGGTGAGGGACACGGAGGTTGAGGATGACAAGTTGTGTCTTTGGCATAGATCAGATGGCTTCAGCGGGAACCCTGGAAGGGTCAGGATGGGGGCAGTGGGAAGTCAGGTCCAGGAACAGGAAGCAGAGAGAACAGAGGGGACATGAAACCAGGAGAGAACAGATGATTGAGGAGCTTATGTCTTGGTGGTGACTATGGGTGACAGGGACATGGGGCAGGGAAAGTTGACTCTGCAGTTTCCAAAGATGGAGTCCCATTGGTTGCACAGCGGTGGGCAGTCACGGACCTAGTCTGGAGATGTCATAACTGGACGCCCAGAAACCCTGGAGCATGACGCCTGCTCTTTAGACTTGAGGACCCAGGGTTTTGGATTCCACGCACCTTTGGGTCCCTGGTTGCGCAACCAATGATTTACAGCTTGGCAACTCCTGTAATTCCTGTGGTGGGGGGGAGCTTGATCCCTTCTCGGCCCTCCCACCACATCTTTCCTCTTTATCTGTGGAGTGTCTCCCCTCCGGCTTCTTTCCTCTCTCTCTCTGTTCCATCCACAGACTCCCTTATCCAGAGCATCTTACCCCTGGGCACAGCGGTTACAGGTGCCACCTCCTGGGAAATGCAGAGAGCTCCCATGGAGGATAAAATGAGGAATTTCGGAGGATGGCTGAAATGAACTTATTTTTGCACTCACCCCGGCTTCTCCTTTCACCTAGTCAGACTCATCTCTGTGGAGAGCAGCCCCCTCCCCAAGATGGAGAGAGGAAGTGCTGGCCAGGGGCCAGGAGAGCCCTAACTGTGCACCGTGGAGGAGGGGTCTCCTGCCCTCCTCCGAGGTCCTCCTATTCCTGAAGGAGGGGGTCTTCTCTCTGCTGACAGCTGGCCTGGGCATTTCCCCAAACAGCCTTGGGCCCAATATACATATTGTTTAATTCCTGTGGTAGCCATCTACTTTATCTGGAGAAATGCATGGCGTATGCCTTCCTGGGTGTGACCCTGTGGGGCCCAGCTCCAGACATGCCTGTGGCCAGTCTTCCACGTTGGCATCCTGGAACGGTCCGGCTCCAGGCCAGGCAGGGGAGGCCGCACTGGTGCCCAGAGCATGGCACGTGGCCCGGAAGCCTCGCCTGCGTGGCCCTCTGTCTCTCGGCCGAGCTACCTCAGCCCCCTTTCCTAACAAAGGATCCAAAGTGTTGGGGCCAGGGGTGAGAGAGAAAGGTCATTTCCGTTTGCTGAGCAAACAGAGAGACAACGATAAAATGCCCGCTGGCAGCGGGAACCCTGCATTCTGCAGCGGCCCTGGGTGCAGCCGAGCGCGAACATGGCAGGCGCCCGGCTCCTGGCAGCGGTCCTCGTCCTGGGTCTGTGCGCCATGGCGGGGGCCGGGAAACCTTGTAAGTGAACGCCCCGAAGTGACCCTCCGTGGCTCAGTGTCCACATCTGGGCAGTGGGGCCTCTGGGCCAGCGAGCCCGGAGAACCTGCTAGAGCCCAAACCCAATGGGGCATGGGAGCTCCCCTGGGGGTCTCCGTTCTTGCTGGCTTCTCTCAGGAGGAAAGGGAGGAGGCTGCGTTCGCTGGAGGGAGGAAGCAGCGGAAAGGCACCTAAGACCTGTGGTGTGGGCCACACGCGCAGCCCTGTGGACGTTCACACTTGCTTTCCTGCTATTCAGGGAGGATACCCGGGGTCCGTGAGACCTCAGAGAGAGGCCTCCCCCCCGGACAAGGTCGGGGTGACCTCTGGTGCTGGGGGGCCCGCTTGAGGAGAGGGACTGGGCAGGAGGCCCCCCCAGGGGCTCCTTGGAGTCCGGCTTTGATCACCTTTCATCTTGGTCTCCACGTGGGTCCATCTGTCCACCTCTTTCTAGAAGGTTATTTTATTTTTTTATATATTTTACGAATGACACAATGGCAGCAAAGCCCTGTCCCATGTGGGTGAGACAAGACTTTGCATTTCCCCGGTGGACACGACGGTGCCCCGGGCGTGCCAGGGGCAGGGCAGCGCGGAGGGTGGTGACGCGTCTCTCCACAGCCCCCTGCCAGTGCTCCAGGATGAACCCCGACAGCAGGAAGAACTGCGGCTTCCCGGGCATCACCAGTGACCAGTGCTTCGCCGCCGGCTGCTGCTTCGACACCACCGTCCCGGGGGTGCCCTGGTGCTTCACCCCCCTCCCCATGCAAGGTAACCGCAGGGCAGCGGGGCCTCTTCCTGTGCCCGCAGCCCGCAGCCCAGGCCCCGGCTGCCGGTGCTGGGGCAGGTGCCCAGGCCGCCAAAGGGAAGAGAAAGCCCCCCTTCACCTGTGTCCACACCTGGAGCCCCAAGGGCCAGCCCTTGCCCCCTTTGGCAGACATATGTGGGAGCCGTGTGTGTACAGAACCTGCTTCTCTGTATTGGAAGAAATAAACAACGCTGGGGCCTCTCCTTTTGTAAAAGCGTGACCGGAAGGTGCTTCTAGGGCAGCGGTTCTCAACCTGTGGGCCGCGACCCCTTTGGGGGTCGAACCACCCTTTCACAGGGGTTGCCTAAGGCCATCGGAAAACACACATATAATTACATATTGTTTTTGTGATTAATCACTATGCTTTAATTATGTTCAATTTGTAACAATGAAATTGGGGGTCACCACAACATGAGGAACTGTATTAAAGGGTCGAGGCATTAGGAAGGTTGAGAACCGCTGTTCTAAGGGAAGGAGGATTTCATGGGACTCATTAACGTGACTGCTCGCAGACTCAGTGTTAGGACGTTAAGTCTTCTAAGACCACTTCTGAGAGTGGCTGTATGTCAGATGCTCAGGAGCAGGTCGTCAATCCCACGGCGTGCACACAAGAAAGTGGATGCAATGCAGGCTGGCGTGCCTGGAACTCACACCCCGGCTTCTCGCCCACAGTCCCCGGGACTGAATGCGAGGCTCCCGGGCTCTGAGGCTGGCTGTGGGCCAGGAGCCTCCCTCGAGGGGAAGTGCTGTTGGGTTTTAATACTTGTGCCAAATGCTTTAGAACCTGAAAGTTATTTCTCCTCTCTGGACTCGATATGGGCAGCCCATTTTACAGAGGGGAATATCGAGTCCAGAGAAGAGAAATAACTTTCTTGAGGCCCCAGTACTATAGGTCTTCTGACTTGTGACATCTGTGGGGAGGAAGGGCTGGGTGGCCAGCCGCTGGCACCTACCCGTACGCAGGCCGTGGGTGGTCCAGCCCCAGAAGGTCCTCCTGACAATCCCGGCTGTAAATCCAGAGGTGTTCCCGGGGGCGCATGGGAATTTCCTAGTTAATAGCAGGCCTAACTGAGTCTCTGTGTTGCTCCTCTCCCAACCCCGGTGACGGTGACCAGACAAAGAGGAGTGCGTCATGGAAGTGTCGGCCCGCGTGAACTGTGGCTACCCGGGCATCAGCCCCGAGGACTGCGCGTCTCGAAAGTGCTGCTTCTCCGACACCATCCCTGAAGTGCCCTGGTGCTTCTTCCCAAAGCCCGTGCAAGGTACCGGCGCTGAGGGCGCGCCGTCTGGGGCCTGGGCACGAGGATTGCTCGGGAAGGTGGGGGCTGGGGAGGGGGTGTTCTTACCCTGGACATCCTGCCTGAATGCCACTGAGGCCCTGGCTCCTGACCCAGGGGTGGCCATTTCAGGGGACAAGTAGACTGATGGGTGAGCCTGCCTTTACCATGAGGCAATTCCAGAATGTTCTCAGCAACGGCAGCGTCCTTTAGATACGTTTAGAGCCACAAGGCGTCATGGGTCTTTATGACGGTTTAAGCACAGCGTTTTCATCCACGCCCCTGGACCGCGGCCACACCGGTGGCCTCACAGTCTGATCCCCATTTTTGGATGCTACCAAATGCCCTCGCTGTGTTGGGTCCCGGGGACGGGGCCCGGAACAGAGCAGACGTGGCCTCCTCTCTGTGGCCCTCATGTCCTCTCACGTGGCCACGCATGTCAGGTTCTGCCCCAGCGTCTGCTTCAGTGCCAGTCCCGGAGGGCCCAGCCCCTCCCTCCTCCGTCACAATGTGTCTCCTGACACTGAGTTTGGCAAGATAAAGGAAAAGCAGGCATTTTCCCCCAAACGGGAGGAGGGCCCTGGTCCTTGAAGAGCACAGCCTTCACTTGCAGAAATTTCCAAGTGTGACCTAAGGGTCCACCTGGAAGATGGCCAGCTTTTGGGGGCGAGTGGCCCCCAGAGGACACCCCAGCCCTGGGCATTTGTCCCAGAAGGGGAGCTCCCTCCACGGGCAGAGCTGGGCACGTGGCCTGTTGCCACCGGCCCCACAGCACCCTTAGCTCAGGCTCCGGGCTCCCTGACCTCTCACCAGCATCTCTCATTTTGAATTTCTAGACTGTCACTATTAAGAGGCAGTGGCTTCAGAGGACCCGCCGGCTCCTGCATGTTCTGAAACAACGAGAGGACTCACCAGCTCGTCCGTTTCCTGTTCTGTGTTTCCTGAATGCCTGGGTTTTCTTCGTCGCTTTTTACCTGGTTCAGTGGGTTCACATTCAGTGTCTTCAAATAAAGGAAACCCTTAACATCTGCTCCATTTTATTTTGGCTTCATTGACGCAGAGGCGGAGATAGGTGTGTGTGTGTGTGTGTGTGTGTGTGTGTGTGTGGCTTTAATGCGCTTTCATTTCCCATAAGAGCAAAAAGCCATCCGCTGTGTCTGGCGGGTCTCTGAATCTGCCTCACTTCCCCGTGTAAGCGAGTCTCTGAATCTGCCTCACTTTCTAACTCCTGCACCCGGTCGTTTGCATACACACTCACATGACTTCAGCCCTCAAGCCTCTCGCAGTAACATGCGATTTCAATGCAACTACAAACTCACTTCACTGTGACCAGAGGCATCTCGGACCACCTGCCTTTGAACTGAGTGCCAGGCCCCCGTCACCTCCCGGGATGCCGCTTTGCAGAAGGAGGCCACCTATGGCCTCCAGTCGCCGGCGTGCCTTCCTCCTGCTCACAGCACACTCGCCAGCTGAATAAGCGGGTGGCTGCTGCTGGAGCTCGGGGTCTCAGCGACACTCGGGACCAACGGCCAACGAGACAGGCGCGGGCGTTCGTGCATTTGTTCATCACAGGGCGCCGGTCCTTCTCACGTTCGCCCACAGGGTGCGGTTCACAGGTTCGCCCGTCCGTCAGCCCGGCCAAGCCAGAGGCCAAGCCAAGTCCCCCTCCAGGGGCCACATGAATGACCCCTACCAGCTCCTGGACCGAGAGTCTCCCAGAACTGGCGCGCGGCTGTCCTGCCTCTGGGGTTGGCGGGAGCTCCTGGCTTCTGGCCAGCGTGGGCGTTTTCTGGTCCACGGACCTCTTGTTCTCAGGCGGAGTGGGG